CTCCTCCTCCTCCTCACTTGAGGCGTTTCAGAAAGGGGCTTCCATTCCAGGATCGAAGGAGTTGTCAGATCTTCTTCGGCGGAAGGGCGGCGGAAGTATAAAACGAGGCCGCCTCCGCCGGCGGAAGGCGGCGGAAGAAAAAAATGCGTCCCCAAGAGATGACAACGTTTTTGGGAGTCCGCCACACACTCGGAGTGTTCTGAAGATTTCAGCGCGTGCACGCGCGCACAGTCCTGGCATCTTGTCGTTGAACAGCCACTGTGTGTCTTGAGAGTGGCATGTCGAAGTGCTTGCAGCGCCTCGCTGTTTCGTATGACTTCGAGATGGGAGCGCGCATGTGGACCTCGTGTCGCGAAGGCCTTGAGGCCAGTGCCGCCGACCCTAACAGGGAGACGGCGACGACGGCAGCGGCGGCGGCGGCGGCGACGACGACGCTGACGTGGGCCAGAGTCTTCAGGGATGTTTCTCAGGGTCTCTTCGGAAGGCTCTCGGGGGCCTCTGGGGAGGAATTCTGGGGCCTCCTGGGAGCCCCCTGGGGGCCTCCTGGGAGCCCCTGGGGACCTCTTGGGAGCCCTCTTGGGGGCCTCTTCGTGCTTCCTGGGGACCTCTTGTGGGCCTCTTGGTGGGGCCTCTCGGGAACCTCTTGGGGCCTCCTAGGAGCCTCTCGGGGCCGAGGGCTCGAAATGTCTGTTCGGGTCCCCCGTCTGGGCACGCTCTTGGAGCCGTCTTGGGGGCCTCTTGGGCCGTCTTGTAGGCGTTTGGGGCTGTCTTGGGGTCCTCTTGGGCTGTTTGGGGGTCCTCTTGGAGGCCTGTTGAGCCGTCTTGGGGCGATTTGGGGGGCCTCTTGCGCCGTCTTGGAGCGGCGGGAAGTGGAAAAGGCGAGATAGCCCAAATCATTAAAAATGCCAAAGGACAATTCTTGAACTCTTGGGGCCCTCTTGGGAGTGCTCTTGGGGCGTCCTGGTTGAGGCCTCCTGGGCAGTCTGGAGGGCGTGACTGCGTTTTGGACCGATCGTTTGGCGATTGGGGACCGTCTTGGACCGTCTCGGGGGCCTCTTGGGGCACTCTTTGCCTGTCTTGGTATTTTCTGAGGCGCCAGGACCCAGGGGGGGATGCGTATCTGAACCCCCCCTCGACACCCCCCGGGACCCCCCATACCCCGCCCCCCCGATTGGGGAGGGATCAGAGGGAAGGGGCTTCCCTTCGACTCGATTACGACATTGCTAGATTTTTCCCTCGTTGGCAAGCTGGAGCAGGAGGATGCAGGGAAAGGGGGCGACGAAGGCGACTGACGGAGACGACGACTCGAACAGACAAGCCTCTCACACACGCCGGCAGTGCCGGCGGACTTCCTGACCAGCCTGTGGTCTTGGGCCTGCGTTTTCAAGAGACAGCGCCCCAGGTCTCCCTCGCCACCGCCCCCCTCCTCCCTCCTCCCATTCGCACACCTCCCACACGCGTCGTGGACCCACAGGGAGCTCCACCGAAGGTCCAGGTGGCAAAGTTCGCACGGCGGCACCGCACTCGCTTCGTGGCCCAACGGGGAGGGAGCTCTACCAAGTGCCCAGGTGGCTGCATTCGCATGGCGGCACCGCGCCCGTTTCGGCACACCTCACGGGGATCTTGGCCTCATTGGGAGCCCCCAGTGGCTGCACTCGCATGGTGGCACCGCACCCACTTCGGCACATCCCTCACGAGGATCGTGGTCCCATGGGGAGCTCCACCGAAGGCCCCAGCGACTGCGTTCGCATGGCGGCACCTCGCCCATTTCGGCACACACACCTCACGAGGATCATGGCCCCATAGGGAGCTCCACCGACTGCCTCACTAGCTGCATTCGCATGGCGGCACCGCGCCCATTTCGGCACACCTCTCACGAGGACAGTGTCCCCATAGGGAGCTCTACCGAGTGCCCCAGTGGCTGCACTCGCATGGCGGCAACGCGCCCATTTCGGTACACCCCTCACGAGGATCGCGGCCCCATAGGAAGCTCCACCGAAGGCCCAAGTGGCTCCGTTCGCATGGCAGCACCGCGCCTGTCTCGGCACACCGCTAACGAGGATTGTGGCCCCACAGGAAGCTCCACCAAAGGCCGCAGCGGCTGCGTTCGCATGCCGGCACAGCACCCATTTCGGCACATCCCTCACGAGGATCGTAGCCTCATAGGGAGCTCCATCGAAGGCCCCAGCGGCTGCGTTCGCATGGCGGCACCGCGCCCATTTCGGCACACCCTTCACGAGGATCGTGGACCCATACGGAGCTCCACCGAAGGTCCCAGTGGCAAAATTCGCACGGCGGCGTCGCCCCAATCCGGCACACTTCTCACGAGGACTGTGGCCCCACAGGAGCTCTGCAGATACCGTTACCCACAACGCGACATTCACAACGGCATGTTGGGTCCTTCGCCCGGACTATCGTTGCAAGTTTTTGTTGCAACGTGGTCTTTCGAGGAAAACGTGTGTGGCGCCACAACACAGCCGCACTGCGCACGAGACATGATCACGGATCTCCTGGCGCCGTTTGCGCTGCTAGTCGGCCACCTGTCTCGGAGCAGTCTTGGGTCGGTCTTGGCTTGGGCTACTTGGGGGAGGCTCCCGCCTGTCTTGGGGTCCTGGCTGTCGTGGGGATTGTCGGGAGTAGGGGGCCGCATGCGAACCCTACCCCTACCCCCCACGATTTCTGAGGGGGAGGGTGGGGTTCACTCCGTTCGGGAGCTCCCGAGCGAAGTGAACCCCAACCCCCCCCGCAAGAAATCGTGGGTGGTAGGGGTAGGGTTCGCATGTGGTCTCCAATTGAGGCCTCCTTGACCAATTTGGAGCCGTCTGCAGCGGCCCAGGGGCCGTCTCGAGCTCTTCTGGGGCCCACCTCGAGCTGGCAAAGGGAGGCGGTGGCCCGCGCCAGGTGCACGTGCAGCTAGACCGGCGTTTGAGGCACTCTCGCGCCCGCAGTGGTGGGCGAGTCGGATTTGAGGCTCGTGGTCACGCTTTGATTCTCGAATGTGGGGTTGCTGCCTGAACAACAATCAACAACAACATCACCAACCACATCAATAGCAGCAACAACAACAAGAACCACAGCAGCTTCAATACATGTGTACATACACATACATGCATACAGACACTCACATCTACAGACATAGATGCATGCATGCACACACGTACATATCTATATATACATACATACATGCATGCAGACATGTATACACACATGCACACATACATACATTCATGCATGTACGCATACCTCCATAGAGACACACACACACGTACATGCATGCATGCATGCCTACATACACGCGGACATACGTACATACATGCATACACACGTACAGACATACGCACATGCATGCATGCATGCATACATACAGGTATACACATATGCAGACATACGTACATGCTTGCACGCATATGTAGAACAATATACACATACATACATACACACATGCATACATATATACATGCATGCGCACACGGACATGCACACATACATTCATACTTACGTGCATGCAGACATACATGCATGCTTACACGCATGCTTGAGTACACACGTGCCTACATACACACATACGTATACACACATACACACATGCAAATCTGAATTTATACATGCATACACAGATACATACCAACCTGCATACACAACCTACACATATACATACACAATTACGTCCATACATACTCACAAACACGCACGACTATACATGTACATATATACACATGCATGTATACATGCACGCATGCATGCATACAGCATGCATACGTGTACATATACATATATATATATGTACTCATGCACGCATCCATGAACACACAGTCACATACATAATTGCATACATGCATGCAGGCACGCATACATATACACATACATGCATACATACATACATACATGCATTCGTACCTACGTGCATGAACATATACACACATACATACATACGCACACGCATACGTACATCTAGCATGTATACATACCTATATATATGTATATATATGCACATACGTACATATATACATGGTTACATACATACATGCATACATGAATACACTTACTTACTTGCATACACACAAGCATACATACATACAGACTCACATGCACATATCCGTGCACACATATGTACACACAAACGTATTTATATACATACATACATACATGCATGCATACGTACATACATACAGGCAGACCGACATACGCGCATGCAGCCATGCCTATATGCATTCATGCACGCGTGCATGCATGTATACACATATGCATATACACATAGACAGAACCAGGTGCACACACATTTACATATACATATGCATGCACATAACCAGGTGCATACGTATATGTATACATGTATATATATACATATATACATATACATCTATCCTATAAACATATATAGATATAGAGAGATATACACTCATACACATATATATATATATATATATATGGATGTGTATGGCAAGCCTGCGGCAGAAGACCCTTAACAGCTATATGGAGCTACGACTGGGGCCACGATGGGGGGGTCACGATGGGGGGGCCACGATGGTGGGGGCACGATCTGGGGGACCGGGATAGGGACAGGGATAGGCGTAGGGATAGTGGCATAAATCTAGGAACATCGGGAAGTAAGGACTGGGATCGGCATCGGGATGGGGAAAGAGATAGGTATAGGAAAACATGACGGGATAGGGAGAGAGATAGGGATAGGGGTAGGGATCGAGGTAGGGATAGGAATGGGCACAGGGGTATGGGAAGGAATGGGAGACTGGGAGACGACGGGAGACAGACAGTAGACAACGGCACCCGACCGATCCCAGATCCGGCAACGCACCTGCTAGTTTCTGAGATTTGTGTGCGTATCCTTTACAGACAAGTTGTTCATGGAGTCAACAGTGGTCTAGCTCTCAGGCGCACGTCGTAGAGTTCGAGTGTTCCTCCTCCGTCCTCCTTGGCCCCTTGCTTCTACTGCACTGCTGGTCCCCTGCTGCAGCCGCATCTCTTGCTGCTGCAACTCCGAGGTGGCGGTGGGACCAGGTCAACGGCCTGACTCAGGTCTGGCGTCCGGGCAAGAAAAAGTGGCGACCAATTTTGTGGAACGAGGAGGGAGAGGAGGGAAGGAGGGGGGGAGGTAGGAGGAGGGAAGACACCATGGACTAAGAGGTTCCCAGAGAGGGTTTCTTGGGCCCTCTTCGGGGCCTCTTGGGCCGTGTGGGGGCTTCTTGGGCCGTCTTACGGCGTTCTTGGGGGCCTCCTGGGCCGTAATGATCGTTGGAAGCTCCACCAAGCGAGGACGCTACAATTCTTCAAAAACCTGTCTGGGGAATATATGATTTCTGCCTCTCGGGGCCATCCTGGGGGGCGTCTTGGCGAGGGAGAAGGAGGAGGGAGGAGGAGAGGGAGGAGAGAGGAGGAGAGGGAGGAGGGAGGAGGAGGAGGGAAGAGGAGGAGGAGGAGGGAGGAGGATGAGGAGGAGGATGAGGAGGAGGAGGAGGAGAGGAGGGGGAGGAGGGAGGGGGAGGAGGGAGGGAGGGAGGAGGGAGGAAGAGGAGGAGGAGGAGGAGAAGGAGGAGGAGAAGACGAGAGAGAGAGGAGGGAGGAGGAGGAGGAGGAGGGGGAGGAGGAGGAGGAATGAGAGAGGAGGATGAGGAGGAGGGGGAGGAGGAGGAGGAGGAGGAGGAGGAAGAGGAGGAGGAGGAGGAGGAGGGGAGGAGGGATGAGAGGAGGATGGAGAGAGGAGGAGGAGGAGGAGGAGGAGGAGGGAGGAGGAGAGGAGAGGAGGGAGGGAGGGGGGGAAGGAGGAGGAAGAGGAGGAGGAGGAGGAGGGAGGAGGAGGGAGGAAGGGGAGGAGAGGAGGAGGAGGAAAGAGGAGAAGGAGGAGGAGGAGGAGGGACGAGGAGGAGGAGGAGAAGGAGGAGGACGAGAGGGAGGAAGAGGAGAAGGTAGGAGGAGGAGGCAGCAGCAGCAGCAGCAGCAGCAGCAGCAGGCGCAGGCGCAGGCGGAGTGGGGGGGGCCGCGGCAGCACCGAGCCACGGAGACCCCCTCGCCGCACGCAGGTAATCGTCGTCGTCGCCGTCGTCGTCGTCGTCGTCGTCGTCGTCGTCGTCGTCGTCGTCGTCGTCGTCGTCGTCGTCGTCGTCGTAGTCGTCGTCGTCGTCTCCGGCGTGGCCCGCGCGCAGGTCTGGCGCCCGGGCGAGCCGGAGTGGCGGCCCCTGGCGGAGGTGCCGGAGCTGAAGGACGCCGTGCGCGCCCGCGGCGCGGGCGCCGCCACCTCGCCCGCGGCTCGGGCGGCGCCGCTTCGGCCGCTCCGCGGCCGATCGGCGGCGGCCGCTCGGCGGCCGAGCGCGGCGGGCCGTCGGCCGAGGCGGGCCGCTCGGCCGAGCCAGGGCCGATCGGCGGGCGGCGGCAGACGGGCGGATCGGCCGACGGGCGGCGGCAGCTCGGCCGATCGGGCGGATCGGCCGATCGGCGGCCCGTCGTGGGTCAGGAGGTGAGCGAACGCATTCTTGTTGCGTCGGCCGGCGGCTAGGCGGGGGACGTCTGCGCTGGCGATGGGAGGCCTAGGCGGGGATGCCGTGGGAGCGAATTGTGCCACCACAGGAGGAGGAGGAGGAGGAGGAGGAGGAGGAGGAGGAGGAGGAGGAGGAGGAGGAGGAGAGGGGGAGGAGGAGAAGAGAGGAGGAGGAGGAGGAGGGAGGAGAGGAGAGGAGGAGGAGGAGGAGGAGGAGGAGGAGGGGAGGAGGAGGGAGGAGGAGGAGGAGGAGTAGGAGGGAAGGAGGAGGAGGAGGAGGAGCGAGGAGGAGGAGCGGGAGGGGAGGAGGAGTAGGAGGAGGAGGAGGAGGAGGAGGAGAGGAGGAGGAGGTGAGGAGGAGGAGGAGGAGGAGTGAGGAGGAGGGAGAGATGAGGAGGAGGGGATGGGGAGGAGGGAGGAGGAGGAGGAGGAGGGGGAGGAGGAGCGGGGGAGGCGCGGCCGAAGGAGGGGGGGGACGGAGCGAGCGGCTCAGGGGGGACGGGTCGCTCCCCGAGCGGGCGGCGCGGCCAGCCGCGCCGGCGAGCCCGCGGCGGCTGCTGCGTCAGCGTGCCCGGCGGCGGCGGGGCCCAGCGCGGGGACAGATATCCCGGGGCCCAGCGCAGGGCCCAGCGCGCGGGGAGGTGAAGAAACGCCCAATGAATCGTCGATCCCCAGTGTGGGAAAAATATGGAAGTGTGTGTGTGTGTGTGGGGGGGGGGTGGGGTGGGGGGGGGGGGGCGAAAAAATCCAGAGAACATGGGAAAAGATGGGGAATCCTGGGCCTGGTGTCTGTCTAGTTGTGTGATCCAGGGCCCCCTCAGTGGAGAGGTTCTGCGGCGGGAGGCCTAGGCACCATCTTTCTGCGTCATCTTTCGAGCCGGATCGATCTGCGAGGGTCCCCGGGGCCCGAGGAGAGGCGAAAAAGTCTGGCTCGAAAAATTTGGGACGAGAGGATCTCAGGGTGCACGCTTTGGTGCTCACATGCATGCAGGGACGCTCGCAGCCCAGAC